CCCGGGGGGGCGCACGGCGGGGACCGGCCGCCCGCACCTTGCAGGGGTTGGTGGGGGGGCGGGGAGAGGTGCGGAAGCGCATCCGCGCGTGGGGTCGTGCGCGCGTGTCCCGCGCTGCGGTGACACCGGGGCCCGCTGTCCCCCCTGTCCGAGCCTCCCCGCAGCCATCCCCGACGGGACCCCMCGGCCCCATCCCGCGGTGCCGCCGTGCCAGGCGCTCTCCACCGCCGCCTCCCTCGGGTTCCCCCGCACTCCCGTGTCCCCAGCCCGGGTGCTGCCGGCTCCGCAGCCCGGGAGGGGGGGGCGTCGATCGCCTTCACTCCGCTGCGTCTAAAGAGCGCGGAGACCCCGTCGAGGAGAGCCCGAGTCAGCGCGTCGGCACCTTGGCTCTAGACTGCTTACTGCTGCGTARGGACAGGACAGTAACAGTCTACAGTCATGGCTACTGAAGCATGACCCACCGCCGGCACCGCACCGGCCCCGCACCGGCCCCGGCCCCGCCGCAGCGCCGGGGGGGCGGGCGCTGTCCGTGGTGCTGAGCCGTCGGGGAGCGCGCCCCGACGGGGGCGGGGGAAGGCGGGAAGGGGCGGGGATGGGGGGGTGTCCCGGTGCCCGCCTGACCTCGCTCTCTTTCCCCCCTCGCAGACACCGACCCCCCCGCGGCGGACGCCCCCCCCCCGCCTTCCCGCTGCAGCCCAGGTAGGGGGGGACCCCCGGCGGGGCGGACACGCGTGGGAGGGCAGGGGGCGGGGAGGGGGTGGGCGGATGCTACCGATGCTGCCGATGCTACCGACGCTCCCCCCTCCCAAGCACCGAGAGCCCCCTCCCCGAGCCGGCGGTGGGGGTCGGGCGCGCTCGCTGCGGTGGCGGGGACGCCTCCTCGCCGTCGCCAAGGCACCGGCTGCCCCCTCCCAACCCGCCCTCCCGGCCCCCCCACTTCGACGCCGCCCGGGCGACCGTGGCTTTAGATTGTTACTGTGCCGCTGGGGGGGTAACAGTCTACAGCCATGGTCGCCGGGACAGGCGGACTCGCACCGCGGGCAGCACCGGCTCCCCACACTCGCCCACCCCCGGGGGTCCCCGAGGCGGCGGAGGCGGGGCGGCGGGGGTCCCGTCGGGGGCGGCCCGCCTCCCGGGGCAGTAGGAGCTCACATGCAGGATGCAGCTCGCCGCACATCAACTCTTACTGTTCGGGGGGGCGGGCGCCGAGCGGCTCCTCCTCGGGCAGCGGGAACGATGGGGACCCCCCTCCTCGGATCCCCCATCCTGCCCCCCGCCTCGCAGCCCCTCACCTGCCCTCCCGGCCGGGCCCCGGAGCCCCTCGGGTACCGTCCCCGCCGGGCTCGTCCCGCCTCATCGGTCCGCTCGGCAGCCGGGGGGTCCCGTGCCCCCGTCCCGTCCCGTGCCCCCCTCCCCGCCGCCGGTGTGCGGGGGGACCGGGGACCGTTCGCGGAGCGGAGCGGGGTCGGCGGCGGGGCCGGCGCGGCGGGGACTGAGCGCGGCCCGCGGGGCCGGGGCGGGGGCGGCCGGGGGCGGTCGCAGGTTGCACAACCCGCCCGGCGCGGCCAGGAGATTCCTGAGCGGCGAAGTCAGAGCGGCCCGGCMTGCCCCGGCACCGGGCACCGGGCCCTCGGCAGCCGGCGGCGACCGGTGCCGGCCGGGCAGGGCCCCTCGCGGGGGACACCGGGGACCCACAGCCCGGAGAGGGGAAGCTGGAAGGGGTGTAGTGACCACCCGGAGGGGAGGGAGGTACCTAATCCTATGGAGACTCCAGAGATGTGGGGTCAGGCACAATTAGGTGAGGGTGGCAGCAGCAAGAGGACAGGGAGAGACTCTCAACAAGAATCTCCAATCCTGGGGTGCTGCAGTGCAGGGCTCTCGTGGGTGTCCCTTAAGCCAAGCAGGGGTCACACAGGGTCCTCTCCCCACTCTCTCCCTCTCCAAAGCAGCCCCATTAGGAGCCCTCACCTATCCATGGGGTCATGTGCCCRGCAGCTCTGCCCTCGCCCAGCCAGGCATGGCCACCACCAGGTCCCCAGGGGCCAGCAGGGCCACAGTGGGACACGGGAGCCACAGGCAGGGGACTATTGGAGGTGCCAGGTCCCCACTGTGCACTGCCACATCTCTTGACTCCTGCTTGACTCCCCATCGCTGCCRCTGGTGACCGGCCAAGCACCTCACACCTCCAGGACGGGAATTTTTGGCAGTCCCACCAGCACTCAGGTAAAACCGCAGCTGTGTCCAGCACATCCGTGCTGCAAAGTTGCCGTTGGCCCAAAACCCACCCTCCATTCCCTGGGAAACACCTCCTTGTTTGTGCCCCATCAACAGCATCACAGTGAGGTCCAGGCCGTGGTGGCACCCATGGGTACCCCTGGGTGAGGGGACATGTCCTGTGGGCCCCTGGACCCCAMGCTCCAGCCCGGGAACGCTCCAGCTGCACTGTTGTTGTTTTGAAGGCCAAGTCTCTCCCGCTGACACCCTGGAATTAGTTTTTCTTCCAGAGTCCTTAAAAATATCCTGGATTCCTGACACCGGGACTTGTCTTCCAACGGCGCTTCCAAGCCGCTGGGCCTGGGGCCAGCCGTCAGCGCCGGGGGACAGAGGCYGTCCAGCTCCCGTGCTCCTCCTCAGCACGGAGATCGCGGCGCTGCCGGGAAGGAATGTGGTGCCAAGGAGGATCACAGCCCCTGCCACGGCCTCTTCCATGGTGGAACGGTGCTCAGCAGGGCACAAGCAYGGCACAAACACTGCCTGACCTTGGCAACGCACCCGGCGGCTTCAGAGCACATCCCTGTGCACAGCCAGGAGGGTGGGAAGGGTCTTTCTGGGACCTCCGAGCTGTGACCCTACAGAGCTGGACGGCTGAGGACTGGGCTGGACCCTGCCTGCGGCGAAGGTCCCAAGGGACTCTCCCAGATGGGATTTCCCTGTGCATCCCCGGGAAAGCACATGGCCCAGAAAACTTCTAGACAAAGCCTGTCACCCACTCCTGGCTTTGCCAAGTGGCATGCTGGCACCRTAGGAATTTAGGATGGGCCGGGGGGCTGAGCCGGCGAGGCTGACGGGGGCTGCAGGGAGAGGTGCTGCTGTCACCCCCCAAATGTGGGGCGGGTGCCCACCGGCCCCACAGGCTGTTGTTGCCATCTAACAGCTCTTGGCCAAACGGYCTTTTGTGATTCAGCCGTGTTTATCCCAGCCCGCAGCCCGGCCCAGCGTGGGTTTCCATGGAAAACTTCCATCCAAAACAAGGAGGGAGAAGGAGCTACAGCAGGAGTGACTCAGCCACAACTGGAAGCTTCTGCGAGTGAAGCAGGGAAGGGGGGGCCGTTCCCAACGGCTTGGTCCTGCTCCAGCAGCGGGGCCCAGGGATGGTCCCRGCTCTGCCCTGCCCGCGCCGCTGCCACCTCGCCGGCAGGAGCCTGGCACGTTCGAGGGGAGCCTCGCKGTAAAACCATCTGGGAAACACGTCACCCTCCCGGAGCGCCCCCTCCCCACGCCTGCGCCAGGCCCCGCKGCCGGGGACAGAGGAGGAAGAGCGTGAGATGAGTAAGGCTCAAACCCTGGCACGGGCCGCACCTGATGCCAGGCTCGGCGGGAGCCCACGGAAACCTCCACCCGTGCCCGCTGTGCTCCGAGGGGTGGCTGGCAGGGTGGGCAGCAGCAGTGACCTCGAGGCAGCAGGGGAACAGGGGGAAGGGGTGCGGGGAGCTGAGGGGAGGTGGGAAAACAGTCGGGAATTTGCAGGGAAGCTGCAGCACTGGCAGTCTCTGCTCATGCAGAGACTCCCTGGGACACTGGGAGAGGSCTGGGGGCTCTGCTCACCCAGGGAAGGGCGAGCAAAGCCCGGTCTGGCCCAGCCCTGGACTCTGTGCCCACAGCAGGCCCCTGGCAAGCCGGGCCACCAGTCACAGGCAGGGTCTTTACTGTCCCTGGGGTCACACAGGTGGCTCCAGTGGCTGCACTGGGGTACAGAAAGGCCCAGCTGGGGAGAGGGGTGACATCTCCTGCCAAAACACCCAGGCTCCTGGTGCTGCTGGTGACACTGCTGATGGTCCTTGTCCCAGGTGAGTGGCACAGATGCCACCTGGAGCCCGGGCTCACTCCATCACCCCCCTGCACTGCAACAACAACTGGCCCAAGCGGTTTGGGGGAAAAACAACTCCCCCGGGTCACGCAAGGTGAGGGAAAAGGAAATCCCCCAGCACCGAGCTGAGTGAGAGGTGGGAGGACATCAGCCAGTCTTGTCTCCAGGCTCACCTCTGCGGGCAGCCAAGGAGAGTGGCTGCATCCCACGAACAGACCTGGATCCGCGAGAGACGCAGGGGCAGCCCGAGGGCATCACCCAGCGGAACAGGAGGGAGAGGGCTCAGGATTCCCATGGCAAACCCCTCCGGCCGCTGTGGACGCACCGTGACAGCCGCGGGAGCCGCTTCCCTCCTCCCRCCACACCGGGGTCAAGCAGGACTTCCCTCCGCTGCTCACACAGGCACCTCCTGCGGACAAAGGTCGCGTTTATCTGTTTTTATTAATTCGTTTAAACCGGTACAGGAGCCATCTTCATGCAGACCCTGGGAAAGGAGCTGGTACTGCAGCGCTCCAGCTCAGGTCACCCATCCCTCCCCGAGSGAGCTGCCTGCACCCCCGGCTCCGTGCTGCTCACTCACCGCACCCTGCGCTTCTTCCCCTTCCTTCCTCTTCCCGGGAAGAGCTGCCGGGGGCCGGGGCTGCGGGGCCGCAGTGCGGGCGGGCGGCCATGGCTGCGGTGCCTCCCCCGCGCCGGGAAACCTCCGCGGAGCGGGAGCTCGGTGATCATTAAACAGCCACCGGGGGCTGGAGAGCGCGGCCGCGGCCGTCCCTGCCCGGCGGCACCGGGGCTCGGCGAGGAAAGAGCCGAGACAAAGGCTCCGGTGCGTTGTCAGAGCCGGTCGCCGTGCTCGGTCACAGCTGCTGCTGCAGCCGGGCGTGCAGCCCCAAGCTGCAGCACTCGCCCAAAAAAACACCCAAAAAACAGCTTCTGGTGTCCCCAAGGGGTGCAGACACCCCACACTTGGGCAGCAGAGGTGACACAGCCCACCTGAAGTGGCACAGCCRGCCAGCGCTGCCTGAGCCCCCCCAGCCCCCCATGGCAACCCCGGCGCGGGGYTGGGCTGCAGGGAAACAGCCACATCCTGCTGCCACCAGCACSATCGTGCTGCTGAATGACAAACCAGACCGTAAAAACCTGACAGCTCTGAGAACCGCTCGCTTCTGCTGGGCTGGTTTAACCCACGGCAGCTCCCAGGCCTGTTCCCTCCCAGCTGAGTGAGCACAGCGTCCCTGCAGCCCTTRCAGAACTGACACCGCGCTGCCCTGCTGCTCAAGCAGGGGGAAAATTAACATTTTTCACCCAATTTCCCTCTTTTACCAACTCTAGGCCCCCAGGGAAGGCTGTGGTTAGAGAAGACCCTCTCCTGAGACTCGTGCCCAGCGCTGAACCGGGCAGAAGCTGAGCTGGACACCTGCAACTGTAACAGCAATAAAAATTTTCCTGTGCTTCTGGAAATTACAGAGCCAGAAACAGTGACAAGTTTTTCTTCCCTGTAGAGGCATTTTGTATAGGGAAGATTCAACGCATGCATACCGAGCCAGCAGGCATTTCATTCCTGACACAAACGCCAGCCCTGGCACTGCCAAGGATGAGAGGGTTGCGCTGGCCCAGACCAGCTGGAAGCTTGGCTTAACAGATAATAAAAACCACGGAGCCTTGGGGAGCTCTGTGCTCTGCAGACACTTCCTGTGGCTGAGCTGAGGGACCCTGCTTCTAAGGTGTTTGAGTCCCTAAAAGCACCTTAAACACAGCAGTGTCACCCTTCCACCCCCAAASCCCTCACTGTCACAGCCCCACACTCACGTGTTACATGTTATACATGTTATATACATAGTAATATTTTATATAAATCTATATATTATATACTCAAGTATACAACAAAATTGGAAAAAAAGGAGGTAAAGAACCATTTAGCCTGGTCTGGGTGAACACTGAAGAGCAGAATGTGCAGCGAGCTGCTCTGGTTCCTCCGGATGCACTGAAACGGTGATGTTTCACCAGGATGGGTGGCTRCACGTGGCTCACCAGAGCCCTTTTWATTACAGAGCCCGTTCTCGAATCTCCCCACTCCATGGGCACTCGGTCTGGCCCTGCCCGGGGCAGAAGCGTTCCAAGAATTCCAGGTAGGCTTTCTTCTGCGCCGCAGCCGCGGGGATGAAGTGCCCGCCGGGGTGGCTGAGGACAACCGGCTCCACGAAGCACCGCGCCAGCTCCCTGCTGAGGGGCGCTGCGATGACGGCGTCCGTGTCGCCCACGATGTGCAGCGTGGGCAGGGCGATGGGGTCCCGGTAGAAGTGTCCGTGTGCCGGGGCGCGGCTGGCGAACCCGGCCACCAGCACGGCGAAGGCCACCGGGAAGCGCGGGTCGCCGCGGGCGCGCAGCGCGCACACCATGGCGGCCAGCGCCGCGCCCTGGCTGAAGCCCAGCAGCCCGTCGAAGGGCCCGTGCTCCGCCAGCGCCGCCGCCACGGCTGAGAGCGACTCCTCCAGCCCCACCGGAGCCGCCGGCGCTTCCCCCGCCTCGAACGTGCCGGGCCCGGAGAACCACCAGCCGCGGGGGGGATCGTCCCCGTCGGGGTCGTCCTCGGCGCCGGCGGGCAACAGGTGCGGCGCGTCGATGGCCACCAGCTCGGCGCGGCCGCGCAGGACCTTGCGGAGGGCGCCGGTGCGCTGGCGGAAGCGGAGGGCGCTCTGCCGGTAGCCGTGCAGCGCCAGGAGCCGCAGCGGCCGCGCCTCCGCCATGGCCGCGCCCCCGGAGCGCCACTTCCGCCTTCCCGCCGAAACGCCGCGCGCTGATTGGTCGGAGCGGCGAGAGAGAGCGGCGCGCCTTTGGTCCAGGTGACGCGCGCCCCCTGGCGGTGGGAGGCCGCGGGGAGGTGAGGCCGGGGCAGCCCCGACGGGGGGGACGCGASCCCCGGTGCGATCGCGGGCAGGGCCGCAGCACGGCCCGGTCAGGCAAGGGGCAACTCCCTGGGGACAGCCGGGGACGGTTCTTGTGGGCAGCGGTGCTGTCGAGTTACGGGGTGCGGCCCCATCCATTCCGGTATCGGTACAGGGGAGCCCCGGTGGTGCTTACTCTGCYGGGAGGCATCGGCGGTGCCCCCAGCTCTGCTTGCGCGGGTCCCGGGGCGCGGCAGCTGCGGGCGACACTCAGGAGGCTGCGGGGTCCCCGGTCCTTGGTTGTTCCCCACCTTCGGACGGGGCGGGGGGTGCGGGCGGCTTCCCCTGCAGGGAGAGGAGGGTCAGGGATGTCCCAGCCCCAGCCGCAGCTGCGATGAGCCCGTCCGTGCTCAGCCCACAGCACCCCGTGGGGCCCCTCGGGGGGAGCCCCCCACTCTGCCGAGAAGCAGCGGGGTTGGGCAGGCGCTCATCCCGGTAAGGGTGGAGGGATCGCGTGTTCCCCGGGCCGGGCTGGCAATGTCCCCGTCACTGTGCGACGGCAACGACACCACCGGGTGGCGCTTTTGGTACGCGGCACCGGGCACCGAGCGGCACCGAGCAGCACGAGCGGTGTTCAGCCCATCCCGGTGCTCTCAGCGGCCCGAGGGACGGAGCGGGGACCCGCTGACCGACCCGGTGACCACCCCGCTGCCCACCTGTGCCGTTCGCCCGCGGCGCGGGGGCTGCGTGCCACCGTGGTTCACTGTCCACGGCCCCAGGGACTGGCTGGCGTAGAAATCCATGGGATAAGGCTGCTGCCACTCGATGTCCTGGAGAGCCACTGCAGCCTGGGGAGAGGACAGGGGATGAGTCCCCGAGCAGTGCCCGCAGAGGRGAGCTGGGAGAGGTGCCAGCATCCAGCTTGGAGAGTCAAGAAGGGCAATGCCAGAGCAAAGCTCGAGGCATTGGGAATCCCACTGGTTTCATGGAAGACTGGATATTCCAGCAGCATGCCAGGACGGTGCATAGAGTACAGATGGAGAGAGAAGGTAATGCTGCCCAGCTGGAGGGAGTTCCCCAAATCTGCTCCGGTGCATCACCCCAAGCCAGGACGGGTGCCCCAAAAACGAGGGGGTGCTCACCTCATAAGGAGTCAGCAGTGGTTTGCTGAAGGCTTCTCCCCAGTCGATGGAGAGCCGGGGACAGGCTACCTGCACCCACCTGGAAGGGAAATGTCAGTGGGGATGAGCATTTTAGGAAGAACGAGGCACAGCAAAGACCCTCAGCAGCACCCCAGAAGGTCCTTACTGTGCCAGTGCCACCCTGGGTGAGGACAGCCACGTCTCTCCCTTGCCCCATGGGCACAGCACGTGCACAGTGGCAGCAGGACAGAGGTGTCAGGGACAGCTTGGAGCAGGAATTGGACAGGGATGGGGCACCCCGAGGCTGGAGGGGGTCAGCAGCACTCACACATCCACCTCTGGGAAGAGCTTTAGCTTGCTGGGGAAGATCTCRGACAGCAGCACCCGCACGTAGGGCCGGCCCAGGGCGCGGAGACGCAGCTCCAGGTGCTGTGGGGRAAAAAAGAGTTAGGGTCCCCCAGCAAGCCCCCCAAGCCCTGCCCAGAGTCCCTTCCTGGCCACCAGACCCTCAGTGTGTGCCAGTTCTGCCTTACAGCCGCRTCCCCTTGGCCAGGCGCGGTGTCAGGGACTGCGGCCACGGCTCCRGCGTGCGCCCAGCTCTCCCCAGCACGTGCCTCAGCCTAATGAAGTAATTACTGCTCAATGACAACAATCTGTTCTCGTTAGCGGCTGCCTGCCCTGGGACACCCGCCTGTCGTGGGCTGGCTGCAGCCAGMGCTTTCAGGAGGAGGAGAGGGGCCAGAGATGTCCTTGTCCTCTGCAACTGGCACTAATCGCCCCCTGCCCMGCCAGTCCTGGCCATGCCCGTGTCYTGCCCGCTGTGGAACAGCAGCTGCTGGGATTTTGCTGCCCTGCTCTAACCACTGCTCCCTGCACTGCCTCAAATCTCACCTGCAGCAACCCTGGAATTTCTGGGTGTGAGCAGGGCCACCGTGCTCAGAGGGCAGAACTCTGCTGCCCTGCTCCCCTCGCCCAGCCGGGGTGAGGAGAGCACCAGCACGGCAGCCGAGCAGGGACGCTGAACCTGATCGGAAGTTCATCCAATTAAAACAAACCCAGCGAATTAATTGCCGAGCTGTCTGGGCAGGGGGGGTTCTCCAAGACTGGCCAGCTCTCCCCAGGAACAGGTTTAATGAGCCCTTTTCCAGCCTCTCTCATCTGCTGCTAATTGCCCACGCAGACCGGGGCCAGTGGCCACTGACRGGCTGCCAGCGGTGCCATGTCCACCCTCGCTCAGGCAGCGAGGACACCGAYGGTGCCACTGCTCACCAGTCCTTCCCTGCAGCGGGGACACTGGGGAGGGGGCTGGTACCTGCAGGATGCTGGGGGAGCCCTGCCGCCCCAGCGTGCCCAGGATGAGTCCCCAGCAGCGGGCACTGGTGGCAGCGCGGATGGCGTCCTGCCGGGCGCGGTGCATGCGCTCGTGGCCGTAGTGCTCCTGGGAGAACACTTTGCTGTAGGGATCGTACCTGCAAAGCACAGCCGGGCTCACACGTGCCCCATCACCTGCCCCCCCCTCAGAGTGATTCCTGTCCCTCATTAGCACTAATTGCCTCCCACGGCATCTGTCCTCCTGGCTGGTGTAGGACCCAGCCGGCTCGTTAGGACAGGGATGGGGACAAGTGTCCCACCGCAGCACCCCAACACCCAGCACAGCCTCGGCTCCGTGCTCGGCTTCACACTCAGCTCCCCCCATCCCGGCTCATCAATTATGAAGAATTCTTTGATTTGTTGCTTTGTTTGACGAGGAGAATTTTAATCAAATCCCACTCGGGTTTCGGCAGCTTCACCAGCGCCATAAACCTGACGTGCGCCTCCCGTTTGTAACAAACGACCTACTAGGAAATTCAGATTCCGCCAAATGGGCCCAGCCTTTCACTCCTGATATTTCATCTGCTTTCAGCGGCCTCATCATCGCGCTTTATGGCCTCTGCCTGCAGCAGCCGGGCTTTAATGGCTGCACCTCCACGAGCTTTCACAGGTACTTGTCAAAATGTTTATATTCAGGCGGAGTAAATGGCTGGTGTTCATCTCCCCCGAAGCACCTCCTCACCCACCCCGTGGCCTCTCACCTGCCCGGGGTGTTCCTGGGGAGCACAATGGGGCTATCTGGGGGAGCTGGGGTGCTCCCCACCGTGGGATTGGGGTGGGTGTCTGTATGTCTGTACCTGTACGCAGRTATCCCAGGGTTGGCAATCATGATGGACTCCAAATGGAAGCGCCCGTCGCCCAAATACCTGCCAGGAGGGGAGGGAGAGCTCTGGCACGGGGGAAACAGCAGCACCCATCGATGTTTCTGCCTGTTTCCCAAGCTGCAGTGTGTGAAGGTGCCAGGAATCCAAACTCCTCGTGCCCAGGGGCAGCGGGCACAGCCTGGCAGGGCTGGAAAAGCAGCCACTCAGAGCAAGGAGAGGTGATCACAACGGCACGGGGTGGCTGGGAGCTGCTCCATCTCAATGGCTGGTTCTAGACGTTGCTGCTTCCATTTCTAATCGGATTTCCAGTCAGCAATTACATTTCAAAGCCTTTCATTCAGCTGCCCTAATGGAGTGAGGGCTTGGAAAATGAATTCAGACGTAAAACTTGACTAGATTTTGCCCTTAATTGGAGAATGACATTTTGGGAGATCAAAGCTAATTTGTCTGCAAAAGTTAGCCCCAGAGACGGTGCAAAGAAGAAAATAATAATGCAGGGAGGACGCAGGTACGAGGCTGAGTGCACCTGCAYGGGTTGGTACCGCACCACCGCTCCTGTGCCAGCGCAAAGGAACTGCTCTCACCAACACAGTGCCAGCCTGGCTGTCCCTGCCTGCTCCTGATGTCCTTGGAGAGGTGGAAAGTGGTTCAGAATGATGCCTGAGCTCAGCAATCCCAAGCCTGGCTCCCTGCATGGCCATGCCTGGAAAGGCTCTCAGCAGCAAGAAGGAGCTCGGCAGGGCCCAAACTCACACCTGGGCTCCCCAGCTCCCCCAAAGGGTGGGGTCCTTGTATTTATTTATTCTGCAGCACACTGTATTCACAGTACATTAAGCATTTCCATTACCTAAAATAATTAGGTGATAGGAAGCGAAGTGCTCCCTCTAATTTGCTGTCCTTAAATAAAATTAATGTTGCTGTGATGTTGGGCCCCGGCCATTTGTCTTTTCCAATTATCCGCCCGCCCTTCCATCTATTATCTATTCTGATATACGACTCAATTATTTCCTCTGTGCTACAAGCACACGCCACTTAAAGCAGCGTGAGGAGCTGGAGGGGGCCCATCCCAGCCTGTGGATGTCCCTCACCACCCCCAAAAATTGCCCAAAACCGGGCAGGGGGTACAGGAAGGATGGAAAGCCTGGGCCAGGCGGGAGGGTGATGAAGGACCCCGGGTACTCACACGATGGCATCCGTGTCCTGAGCGAGCCGGGGTGATGTACAGCCCAGGATCTCTCCTGGGGACAGCGGCTTACACTGGGGGATGCACACCTTGTACTGGGAACGCAGCTCCTGGGACACTGCCTGTGGGAGATGTGGGGTCAGCAGGGACAGATCACAGCACAGAGGGTGGCTCAGGGCCCGTGGGGACAGTCCCAGCTGCTGTGTCCCAGCGGAGGAGCCCCAGGAACAGCCCTGCACAGCCGGGATGCTCAGCGAGGCTCAACCAACGTATCAATTAAAAGACAAGGGGAAAGGCTTAACGCTTGGATAGCCCCGTGTTTAGATAGACACGGCTCAAGAGGCTCATTCATCTCCTCCCGTCCTGCCCAGCCGGCCGTTCAGGGGCAGCACGCAGAGCCGCCGGAGCTTCCCCGGCCGCTGCCGGCACTGCATCAAAATGCCAAGTGCTCCACCGCCTGCCCTGACATTTCCAGAGCAGCTCCCGGGGGAGCTGGGGAGGGGTGCTGCCATGAAACATTGATCAGAGTTATTATAAAGTACTTGATCAACATTATGGCAGCAGCACGTTATTGCAGAGACTCGTCAGAGGGGAGCCGGCTCCACCAGCACCCGGGGCAGCCGCTCCCAGGACGGGGAAGGGCTGAG